GCTTTTGTTTTACTTTAAGGTTAAATAAAAGTATTGTTAGTGTCGCAGTCTACAGTATGTTTGATAGTACAGTCGATTGCGATAATGTTCCTTCGCGTGTTATAGAAACGGCACCCAACTCTAGTTAAACAATGCTTGGTTCTACATGCATGGTATAACGTCCAACAACTACCTGATTAATTATTCAATACCAGTCTGAATAATAATATCAATTCCCATTTGGGGTGTATGTATTGAGCAAAAGTACTGTACAAAGGCGCTGCTCAATGCCGTGAACGACAGACAAGTATGGATCCTTATCTTTGAATTTTCGAGACTTTTTATCGAAATAGGTTACTACACTTTATGTATATGGTATATTGTACCTTGATGTCATAAGAGCGTGTTGCCCTACGTCGAAACCTTACTTGCTGTCAATCGAGCATGTTGCCCTCTGTCGAAACCTTACTTGCTGTCATAAGAGCACGTGCCCTCTGCCGATACCTTACTTGCTGTCATAAGAGCATGTTGCCCTCTGTGGATATTTTACTTGTCATAAGAGCATGTTGCTCTCTGCCGATACCTTACTTGACGTCATAAGAGCACGTGCCCTCTGTCGATACCTCACTTGTTGTCATAAGAGCATGTTGCCCTCTGTCGATACCTTACTTGACGTCATAAGAGCACGTGCCCTCTGTCGATACCTCACTTGTTGTCATAAGAGCATGTTGCCCTCTGTCGATACCTTATTTGTTGTCATAAGAGTATGTTGTCCTCTGTCGATACCTTATTTGTTGTCATAGGAGCATGTTGTCCTCTGTCGATACTTTACTTGTCATAAGAGCACGTGCCCTCTGCCGATACCTCATTTGATGTCATCAGAGCATGTTGCCCTCTGTCTCGATACCTTATTTGTTGTCATAAGAGCACGTGCCCTCTGTCCCGATACCTTACTTGCTGTCAATCGAGCACGTGCCCTCTGTCTCGATACCTTACTTGTTGTCATAAGAGCATGTTGCCCTCTGTCTCGATACCTGACTTGTTGTCATAAATGCATGTTGCCCTCTGTCTCGATACCTTATTTGTTGTCATAAGAGTACGTTGTTCTCTGTCTAAGTATATATGTAAATATTAACATGCTCGCTACCAAATTTCGGAGAGTCAGCAGAGAGACACATTTGTTATAAATAGTTGACTAGTATCTTGTCATACAACAATATGTATGTATATACTTATCATCTAACGTGTAGTCACATGTCACTGAAAATAAGGATGTCAACTTCCGGTTGTAAACTTCAAAATTAAAAAAAACAACATACAAGCCTGTGTGATATATTTGCCTTTGTTATCGGTAATATGGTCTATCTAGAATTGATTACAACTAATGGAACTTTACTGCGGTCTTAACGTTGTGGAAAAACGGCATTTCAAATGCATTGTTTCTACTTTACTAGCAAACCACTCGTAGTCGATGTCATTGTCACATATGTGTACATGTTTCTGATAAACGTTAAGAGATGGACTTAATCACATGTGTACTCACACATTATCAAAATCACACTTGCACGTTGTAACACGTTTACCAGCATATGGAAATTTGCGAAGATGCATTTTTCTCGACTCAACATTAACATTAAACATGTCTTTTTTCTAAAAAGGTCTGCACGTAAATGGTCATTACCAAGGACTTTCATGAAGAAAATTATATAAAAAACCTCACAATGCGTCAATTCAACAGTCCGTGGCAGAAGATGAACCGGACCCGAGTTGATGAAGGGACGAGATTTTCGTCAATATATCTTTTTTTTCAAATCGCGTGAAATATCTAGCGACGAGACTGGATTAGAAGAACCAGATGGAATTTCCCATTCCAAAAGAAGCAGTTGCCTATCCCTCTCTAGCTAGGTAGATCCGAGTTCATGGTATTACCAAATATAGCATTAGCTGCATGATAATTTTGGACCCTGTATATAAATTATCACTTGGAAGATATAAGATCATTTGTCTTGGAAACATAACTATTTGGATGACGACGATAATTATGCAATACCTAGCTCCTAAGCTGATCAGCCAATATGGCTTGGATTGCTTAGCAACAGTAATGTATGAATTCGGTAGCCCTATAAATGTGAACGTGCACATCTATAACATTTGTAGATACAGTTAATTTGCATTCAATCACACAAGATTGGCAAATGAACAAAATTTTAAGAAGTTAATACCCTGTGTTAAAAAAACAGTATTTGATATTATCTCGACAAACTAACAATGCTCACTCTGGCCATGTTCTATATCCTAAAGATAACAGCGTGTAAACCTAGATCTCGTATGAACATGAAACAGAAACGTATACAGACATTAACAATCTATTGGTTCCATGAGGGTACGATCACGAGAAAAGATCAGGTCCTTATAATATTGTATTGATTTCAGATGACAATAGGTGTCGGTTGTACCCTGTTCTACGTCGGTAGTTGGGTACATAATTGACGATCCCTTGCAGTGTCCCTTGCACTCAGCGGTGTATATCTATTTATCAAATACGTCGTCGGCTCTCTGCGTCATCGAAAATCTTGTTTATAAATACTTCATGTATATATGAAATATTATTAGCATTTGGATAATATACTGGCAAATTTCAGAACATCATGGACGTAGGTTACAGTCATATATAATGTAAAGAGCTCGCAACATCAGTTACAATATGAACATCACTTCAGCTTATTATTGATATCATGGAAAGACAAATGATAAGAAAGGTGAGCATGGAATCACTGACGTATATATAGACCCAAGTCTGTGATAGAACCAAACAAAATATCATTTCTAAATTAATACTAAAGTGATTTTATTTTTTCCTTTCCCATTTAATTTGTGTTAAGAAAACCTTTTAGCGAATGAGTTTTGTTTTCTCAGAGAACACATGCACCAGCATTCATCTGGGTCATAAATCAGAAGTTTGCTATAAGGTCTGGTCATATGTGTAAACATGTCGCGGTCAGCGAGATTTCGCCAACATTACATTATGCAAGGTCATGGTCGAAACGACACTGGATCACGCGTTCACGTGTCAAAAGTTGAGGGTGAATATAAGAGCGACTAATCTGTGCTGCTAATTCTGTTTGGTTATGGTATTAGACTAGACATGTTTGCTTGTATATTTACAGTACTAAACCTCTACTTACCAGTAAATAAACTTGACCCAGTTTTCAGACATACGCGATGGACAGTGATGCAACACATACCTGTTAACAATACCTTCAGATTGATGTAGGTCTATATACTATAAACTGATTACAGTATAATTCGTTACATATCTTATAAATTAATATATTTTTCTGCTTTCGTCACACCATTCCTCTAGAAGCAAGAGATGCGACATTATACTCCGATTCCAATTCCGTCAGTATTTTCGGACAAAATAGGAATCACATATTATATACATTTAGATAAAGGGTTTGAAGGTTTTACCCTACCGTAACATCAACAACACTTCTGTAATTGAAATATTTTGTTTTCGAAAAAGACAATACTTTACTCATATAATCACACCCTATGTATTACAAAATGTACTGTGTCTCAACTAAGGCTGAAACGTAATAGGCAAGATATTTGATATTAGTAATTTTGTAAATTCCTTTCATTGTTGGTATTTACTTGGTAAAGAAATCCTTTGATCGTGAAAACGTAGATATCGATTTGTACATTTGAAATAAAATGCATATTGAAAAACCGCGGGGAGTCGAGTTTAAATAGATGATTTGTTTAGATAAGGTGATTTTCAACAAAGTGATCCTTAAACGTTTGGTTGTGCGCTGAACGCCGGTTTATATACAGGTCGGTTTCGAAGCATTTTGAACTGCATGTTTACATATCCTTAACACTTATTTGGTTTAACAATAATTTCAAGTGTTATCAACTGATAGGACATACAAATGTTCCTGTTTATGGTGTTTCGTGAGGATGGGCTATATGCATGTATCGTGAATTCAACGTGATGATGCACAGAAATTATCACATTTATCACATTGAGGGCCTATGATGTATTGATTCCGGACCAGGATGCTGCGCTAAATCTTATTAATTATTTGTTTTTGTGACAGATAAAATTGCCAAGAGGACTTCTGATACAGATCACTGTAGTATACATGTATGCAGTCGTTTACCCCACACCTCACGGATTGTAGCTCATAACATCAAAATTTCAATCAACGTCGGTAAAAAATCTTTTTACCTAAAATCCGGCTGTCACTTTAATCATCTGGATATAAAAACGGACATATATATCTAAGTTGGCGATATATTATTAAAAACTCGAACCACAACACCACAGAAAATATATTTTTACATTCCCTTTACAAGCACTGTTCGTATTATCGATAGTCCAGACATTTTAATCTATTGCCATTTTGAGGAAATCCGTGATTACTCATAAACTGAACGTGAATATAAGGACTCCCGAGGTGAACTTAATGACGAATAGCCCTTCACAGTACGACAGGGAAGAGGTCCGGGATGAAGGATGATAAATGGCGATGTCTCGTGGTAACATTCAGTTATTTGTGTACCTGTTACGTAGTGTTATTTTCCCGATCTGCACTTACATGTAAACATTTATGTGTACAAATATATGTAAATATTTTCACGGTATGAAACTCATTAGGATTTCACGCACTGATGCATATGTACATACAGGAAGCAGGCGCACGACTGCTTTGCCTGATTACATACTTTTAAGTACATATGTACTTTTAGGTCGTTAAAATGATAGATATTTGCCATGCTGTGCAACTGATAGGTAAAGTTTACGATTTGAAATTACATCGTTCATGTGGGTAGCAAATTTCCATGGTCATATTTTCACCACAATTATTTGTTTATATACAATATAGTCCCACGTCACGCATGCTATCTGTTCATTAAGACCTACCTCAACGTTCGGCCTGCCCTTGTACAGAGCTTGTACCAGTGTTTACACCGGAATTAAATGTAGTTACAAGTCTCGTTGCTTCTTCACTTACCTGTTCCTTCGGTGAAAATATCCATGCTTACGAGCAAAAACGGAGACACGCCCCTTCAAAAACAAATATATGTGTTTTCGTCTGTGTTTGTAGTAATGCGGTTCCCATTCACAACAATCTTCTTGTACGCGAATGTGTGTTAGGTGTCATGTGACTTGAAGCGTAAATAAACATTGGGTTTCGTTTCAAGAGGAGTGTCAACATAGCGCTTGAACCGAATGGTCCCTAACCTGAAGCGTGTATCTGATCCAGACTTATCTACTTCTAAGGCCGTCTCAAAACAATATACGTGGCGATTGCGAAATGCCAGTTTATTTGCGATATTAAAGAACATTTAATTAGCATGAATGTGCCCAAAATCAAATTGTCCATTTGGAACATGAACAATTTGTATTTAAGCGAGTGTCAATTTCACGAAAAGAATTAATCGGGAATGTTTGAAATGATGTTGAATTTCGTTTGAGACGGGCCCTCGTTATTGCCCATTGGGGTAACAATCTAGAACGTAGCCGATGAGCCATGCAACCACGTAGAATAGAGATTTATCGGTACAGAAAAGTAACTATTATCCACATGTACGAATAAGTCATTGTCTTAGTATATGTATATATATTAAAGCAAACTAATTGACAGAACATTTTTTTCTCCGTGGACCATGTGACAGTATGTTATTGATGGTTAATAGGACATTTTATAATGCATATTGCATATTAATGTACACTTTATATTACTGACATGGATCAGATTAATTTTATTTGTTCTATAATATACGTTGAATGTGTCTAACGTTTGAATATTTATATACGTGTTTTAATTTGGAATATACATGTGCGTCAGTTAAATAACACACTATATGTTCATGTTCGATAGAACATTGTTGTAATATATTACATATGTTGACTGTGTTTAATAGACTTGTGTGAGCGGTGGTGGTGGCGTGTGGTGGTGTGTGAGTGGTGGTGCGTGAGTGGTGTGTGAGTGAATGGTATGTGTGTGAGTGGTGGTGTGTGTGAGTGGTGGTGTGTGTGGTGGTAGTGTGTGTGAGTGGTGTTGGTGTGTGCGTGGTGATGTGTGTGTGTGAGTGGTGGTGGTGTATGAGTGGTGGTGGTGTGTGAGTGGTAGTGGTGGTGTGTGAGTGGTGTGTGTGTGATAGGTGGTGTGTGTGAGTGGTAGTGGTGGTGTGTGAGTGGTGGTGGTGTGTGTGAGTGGTGGTGGTGTGTGTGTGAGTGGTGGTGGTGTGTGTTAGTGGTGGTGGTGTGTGAGTGGTGGTGGTGTGTGTGTGGTGGTGGTGGTGTATGAGTGGTGGTGGTGTGTGAGTGGTGGTGTGTGTGTGTGAGTGGTGGTGGTGTGTGAGTGGTGGTGGTGTGTGTGAGTGGTGGTGTGAGAGTGGTGTGTGTGTGAGTGGTGTTGGTGTGTGTGAGTGGTGGTGGTGGTGGTGTGTGAGTGGTGGTGGTGTGTGTGAGTGGTGGTGTGAGAGTGGTGGTGTGTGAGTGGTGGTGTGTTAGTGGTGGTGTGTGTGGTGGTGTGTGTGAGTGGTGTGTGTGTGTGAGTGGTGGTGGTGTGTGAGTGGTGGTGTGTGTGTGTGAGTGGTGGTGGTGGTGTGTGGTGGTGGTGTGTGTTGTGTGGTGTGTGGTGGTATGTGTGTGGTGGTATGTGTGTGTGTGGTTGTGGTGGTGGCATGTGGTGGTGGTGTGTGTGTGGTGTGTGTGTGGTGTGTGTGTGTGTGTGTGTTTGTGGTGTGTGTGTGAGTGGTGGTGGTGTGAGTGGTGGTGTGTGTGAGTGGCGGTGGTGTGAGTGGTGGTGGTGTGAGTGGTGTGTGTGTGAGTGGTGGTGGTGTATGAGTGGTGTTGGTGGTGTGTGAGTGGTGGTGGTGTGTGTGAGTGGTGGTGTGTGAGTGGTGTGTGTGTGTGTGTGTGTGGTAGTGGTGGTGTGAGAGTGGTGGTGTGTGTGGTGTGTGTGGTGGTGGTGTATGGTGGTGGTATGTGTGTGGTGGTGGTGGTGGTGGTGTGTGTGGTGGTGTGTGGTGATGGTGTGTGTGTGGTGGTGGTGTGTGTGTGTGTGTGGTGGTGATGGTGTGTGAGCGATTGTGGTGGTGGTGATGTGTGTGTATTGTCAATGCATGTGTATTTAGTTGTATTATAAATAAAAACAATTATCCCTTTTGTATTTTAAGTCTGCTTATACGTGCTTATCGTTTGTGTAGATAGGTGGGTTAATAAGTTTGACTGTACGACATATATGTACAATCAAATTAAAAGTTATCTACGACACGATCATAATTATCAAGTCTTAATAAACTAGATGGAGTAAGATGGCGACAGTTGTAATAGGTTTGTATACGAGTGTATACAGCATTGTATTATCATAATCAAGTTATAAAATTTGACAAAGAAAAAAGAGAGAAAGAATATCTCGGACGATTTAACAATTCGAAAAGATTGTGCATTCTGATCGAATTATCTCCGTTTGATTGAGAATGAGTAAGTGCGTGCGTGCGTACGTGCAGCCTTGATCCTTAAAATCGATTTTCAGTAAAAGTCACACTCAGGAATAAAACCGATAAAGTTTTATCATTCTGAAAGTATAACTATACTTATTTTGTTAATATAATTTATGTTATATATCATGTAATATTCAGGTAATTACACATGTAACTGTAAATATACCTGATTTTATCCTGTAACAGGCACTGCGATTGTCAGAATACACCTGCCTCATATATTTTTCACCCGGCTGTATTTGGCAGAGGCGGAATACAGACAGAAGAATAAGCTGAATTTACTTAGATACTTTTATTTAAATATTGTTATTAAAATTACATATTGTAATGGACATGGTGATCTATGAAAGTTCATAAAATCTCTGTTATACCCGATGAAGTTTAAAAATATGTTACGTTGGCGTCCGTCATCAGGCAAAATTCCGCTAACCTCAACATCCCAGGTAAACAAAGATTGAACAACAAAATTACTGAAGTAATTGATTGATTTTCAATCGATGTTGCAGAATAAATAGAATACATGTTCAGTGTCTTAAAATCATGATAAGCCGTATTTTGGCTCGGACGGACACTTAAAAGACGTCAAAGGCTCGTCACCTCTCTCTCTCTCTCTCTCTCTCTCTCTCTCTCTCTCTCTCTCTCTCTCTCTCTCTCTCTCTCTCTCTCTCTCTCTCTCTCTCTCTCTCTCTCTCTCTCTCTCTCTCTCTCTCTCTCTCTCTCTCTCTCTCTCTCTCTCTCTCTCTCTCTCTCTCTCTCTCTCGTCAAAATACAGCTTATGTTTTTAGACTATCAGTATCATTGAATTCCTCGAATTATTTCATCCCAATCTTTAAATAGCGTTTAGCAGCATGTTTGTAGCCAAAGAGACGTGTACGACGATCTTTCGATTCTTCATTATAATGAATTTTTTTTTAAATGGCCATGACTCACTAAAGGGATCATTCTCCAATTACACTCCTACCAATGAAACCGGTTTGAAAGTTGTAGTCATGCGTCTCTTAATCTTCAGCAATACTCACACTATCCACCTTTACACTACAGGTTGTGGCCAATAGACCACGATTTCGACGAACTGTCTGTCAATAACCTATTCCCAAAATAACTCGGAAGCCCTACATTCTCAAAAGAGGGTAGATACACATGTAGAAGCGAGCGTCTGACTATAGGGTCACCAGCTGATGGGTCATGTCATTCTTTTATACCGTAGAAGGCTTCATTATAAGAGTTACGCCCCCTGATAATCGTATCTTGAACTCAAAGAGTTGTCCTTCTTACTTGTTCACATACCATTGTCGTCTGTTTTCCTAACCCCATTCAACGATTTGACCAACTCATAGTTAGATAAGAGGTCCGGAGATCTACAGATCATTCGCTGGAAACAGATTTTTTTTATCTACATGTAATAATTCTGTTTCTGGGATATACGGGTATTTAAGAATGCTGCAATGTAATATTTAGATGCCAGGTAGACGATGAGAAATAAAATATGATTGTAAATCTGGTTTTTACTGTACAATAAATGACAAGGAAAACATCATATCGATACATTTATATCACAATTCAGCGCCATTATGGTTATCATGAAACTGTATACGCCACTATCGGAATCACGCAATTTCAGTTTTTTCTAGGCGAATGAAATGCAAATGGCGGAATCTATGCTACAATGAAAGAATGAAATTTTTGGGGTACATGGTGGCCTATTTTTCTAACCTTTCACAACGTCAGCCACCCAAACTGTAATAACCTCTCCGGTATCTTATATCGGTTGGGAAGTCACGTGGGTATCCATGAACGACCTCTGGTGATGAGTTAATTTATTGATCTGTCTCTTATTTCACACCACAATCCAATTCTTGTGATTTGCATGTGTGTTGTATAGGTCATATGAAACATTCACATAAAACTTCGATTTTCTGGTGAGATCAGACGAACGAACTTAAAAAGTTGAGTTAACATGAACTGATGAATGTGTTAAAAGCCCCGAAGCAATTACGATTTAAATTTGTCATTTGTAGAAAGTGATACATTATAAATATTGCAATCCAAACACTCAGAAATAAAGAAAATTCGCTGCTAGACGAAATCAATTGCAAGATGCTAAAAAGAATACAACCTGTCCATATATATATAGACATAATTGTTTTCTGCTAATTTAAAATAAACCTTTCAATCGAACCTAGGTCAAAGGCAGACATTGTCATCAGTCGGACCGCGATCGCCCAGCGCCATCTTATCTTTAATGTATCTCTGTCATCTACTTTCTATATTACAAAGTCAAAGAATTTCATTCTGCCATAATAACACTGTTTGCGTCTTCCAAGAAGAAAGTTGCTTTGCGTCACTAAAGCGTAGAGGGATAAGCACAGGTATAAATATTCTGGAAGGCGAAATGTCTTCTAATCCATCGGTCAACACTATACGCCACGTAAAAAAAAAAAAAAAATAAGAAAATTGCATATGTAGCTTGAAAGAGCACGTGCAAATGTAATCAGTAGGCCTTCTGATCGTTCATGACAACTAATTATTTGCCGATGGAACCGCGATGGCGCCCATAACACTACATCTGAATTGGAAACAA